GTGTAAACTGGACATTTTGCTCTCATAGTTCCAATCGCATGTAAACTTTCCTTGTAATTTAACTGGGAGATTCTGACATTTGCTAGCCACATTAACTGCACTGGTGCCTTTCTGTCCCATTTAGAGTGTACGTGAAAAAAAAAATATTTATGACTCTCTCAAGAATACACTAATGGATTTTAGAAGATTAAAAGTCTATTTTTATTAAATATCAAACATCTCCAGAAATGACATTTTGAATGTGTCTTTCAGGTCTCTTCCTTTACTTTTTTTTCTTTTTTTTTTAAAACAAAATATCTCTGTTAATTCCAGTTTGCCATGGTAAATGCCACTCTCGTTGTTTCATTACATAAAAAGACTAGATTGCTCTTCAAGGCTCCTACAGTCAAGATGTTGCCACTGAAATTAATGAGACAGTGAGTGCCAAGCCTTGGAGTTAATTGGCGCAGTCTGACTTAAAAAGCATTCATCTCAAAGTGTGTCAAAACATGCCGGCTAAGTCAGGTGGCAATAATAGCATATAGAAAAAAGTATACCCTAAAAAATAAACCATTTAGCTACCCCATTGCCTCATCTTTAGTACAAAACCAAACTGTGACTTAAGCTGAACTTTTTGGTTTTGTTCCCAAACATTGTTCTACATGTAGAAATAGAGGAACATGTTTTACATCTTTTTGAACTGAATAAAACAGCAGAAAGCAGTGGAATATCTGTATAAAATTGTGCTTCCAGAGCACAATGCTATTCTATATGACAATAACTGAAGTATTCTCCTACCAAGTGGGTGGACTGGAATATATCCAGTTTTGGTTTAATCCAAATGTTCTAGTGACTGAAGATATGATAATCAAAAATGAAAAGAATTGAGAACTCCCTCCCTCATGAAAAAGTTCAGAGAAAACAAATCTTTAGGCTTTCCTTTTCAGGCTCTCCAAATCTTCCTGATGATATGTCTGGTTTTATGACCTATTGCCTCTATGCTGATTACAAAGGTGGCTACAGCCAAAAAGCAGAGTACTAAGTGAACTGCATTTTAAGATCTCTATTCAGAAGAGCTACCCTATGACCATCAGTCAACCCCTAAAAAAACATGAAAATGCAGTCTTTCCTCCAGGCGGCCTAGACTCAGATTTACAATAGGGAGGACTACATGTAAGTGAGACAGGAAGGATCTTATCACACAAACTAGCACCAGTATTATACAAGCACATCCTCCCAGAGCCTTTGGCTCACTCCTGGTCCCTGTTGAACAGGATGAGCTGCAGATGGTCCCTCCTCACACAGGTACTTATTCTAGCAGCCCCTTGGGGAACAGACCATGGGCAACCTTCAGAAGCCTCCCAACTTGGGTCTTCTGTGGAATTCCACGCCACTCCTAATGCAAACAACCCTGCATGTGCTCTTTCACTCAGCCCCAAGATGTGGTGCCTCCTCATGATGCTCTGCTCTCAAGGAATTGGATTCACAACACCCTCCGCTCTGAACTCAGACAAAAGCCAGTTCAGGAAGCCTCGTAACCCTGAATCCTTTATGAATGTTGTAAGTTTGGTCACTTTCTCTCCCTTTCTTTCTAAAGTGTCTCTTCCAATACCACTACCACTGCCCCATCACTAACTGTCCCTGTCAGGAGGCTAAAAGTAGCTCCAGCAATGTGATAGGGAGCACTGGCCTAGAAAACAGTGCTAACACCTTGATGCTCCCAACCAAACAGTCCGAGCTGCTGAAGAAAAATATTCCTTTGCTGTGGAGGCAAAGGCTGGTTTCTAGTCTCAAAGGAAGCAAAGCCCCCCCTTTCTGTAACAACCTGTATGGTGGCAAGGGAGGGTGAATTCCTCCTTTAAACAGCAGATTCGCATTACACAAAGTAATCCAAGACCCATTGCTCTGAATCACCAAAGATTTCCTCACATTAGTGGCAAGAGTGTAATAGGTGGTGCTGTAAGTGAATTTGTAATAGAAGATCCACCCTACCTGGCTTGCCTAACTACAGGAAGGATTGATTATGGACCAAAACCCACAGCTTTTGGCATTGTCTTATATCAACATATGTGTACTTAATCTATAGAAAGGTATGATCTGTATCAGCCTTGCAAAACAGGACAAACTATCTCCCAAAAGGTTAGTCACTCATTACAGTCCTGCTTCGTCTCATAATACGTGGTCAAATACCAGACAACCACCACTTAAGCAGGACTGAAGAAGACTTTGGTGCACCTTGTTACAAGACTTGTAATATTCATTCTCAGACATGGTCCCTATGGCCAGGGGCCTTGCAGAACAGAACACAGAACAGAACACAGAACACACTGCTCAGCTTGGTTACCTTCCAAAACAGGACAACCTGCGTGTTCACAAACTCTCCTTTGGCTTCTCATAGAGTGAAATTATCAGATATCATGGATACCCCAGTGAGGAATATGAAGTTACCACAGAGGATGGGTAAATTCTTGGTGTTAAATGCTGGGAGGAACAGCCAAAGTACAGGTATGACACAGTCATAGGATGTAAGGAAAGCCTGAGACTCAACTCTTCCATGGGTCCCCCATCTTTCCCCTTTGCACATGCCATGACATGTTCTACACCTTTCAGTCTCAGTAAAAGCATCTAGTCAGGAATCTGGCCTGAATTTTGTGTATAGGTTAAAAAAACCTTATGCAAAACCAGATTCTGTACCCAAGTTTTAACTAGACATTACTTACTACAGCATAAGAAACCCTTTTCTTTTTCAGGGAAAAAGCCCGCAATCTTGCTACACCATGGTACTTTAGGAGATTCTATTCACTGGATTTCTAACCTGCCCAACAACAGCTTGGGCTTCATCCTCGCAGATGCTGGCTATGACGTCTGGTTGGGAAACAGCCGAGGGAACACCTGGTCTTTAAAACACAAGACCCTTAAGCCCTGCCAGAAAGAGTTTTGGCAGTTCAGGTACTCCATGGAAAAAATATTACTGAAGAAGGCAACTCCCAGGCGACCTCTCCCTTTCTGTTTATATGAAAAAAATCCCCTTCTGGATTATGTGAAAACCATAATGGGTTTCATATAATCTGACTTCAAGTGCGACATGCATCATCTAAGGAGACTAAACCAACTCTTTTCTCCAGATGCAGTCACTTCAGGTTATGTCAGGGGGGGACATAAGACGGGCTTGACTACATGATCTGGGCAGGCCCTTCTGGAATCACCATATACAGAAGCAAATCTGCAAGTACATGGGTCACCTTTGTCCAAACACAGTGCTGGTTTCTTTGGGGAAAAGACTTCCAAAACTGGGACACGTTTGTAACTTTGAAGTCTCCCAAACCGTGTCCTGGGTGCAGACAGGAGAGGAGACCACTCAGCTCAGTGTACAGATCTGGTCTACCACAACTGATACCAGCTGAGAAACTTTTTTGTAACCCATGCAGGCAAGACCAATGATCACTTCTGCAAGACCCTTAGCTAACAGACAAAACTGACACCTCCTTTGCAGAGAGCACAAGGCATCAGGCAGCCTGGCAGTTCTACTGCATCTCTCTACCCCCTTCCCCAACTCAAGCAAGAATGCAGACAAAGCGTGAAACCTCATCTTTCAACGGGGCCTGCTTGGTGCAATGAAGAAAACTGATACTCAGTAACTCACACTGTAACAGCTGAATTATCTGTTAGCTTTCTTTGTTTCTCCCCTGTAGCTTTGATGAGATAGGTAAATATGATGTTCGAGGAGAGCTGTACTTCATCATGAATAAAACTGGACAGAAGGATGTATATTTTGTTGGTCACTCAGAGGCTGCAACTGCAGGTAATGTTATGACTGCCTCGGTCCAAAACAGTTAATGTTAGTGTTTATGATTTATATATAAGATTCATGAGTAGACATTGGGATTTATGCCATGGTGTGCCATTGCCCTTTTACAAAAAAAAAAGCAGCCTAGAAACAGGAGAAAATGTAAGTGGCCACATTCTTAGGCAATCCTTCTTCTTTCATATGTGTATTATAAGGGTCTTTTTCCAGAACAAATCATTTAGGCCAAAACATTTCTCTTTAGACACCTATGTTTTAGGCAACCAGTTAAAGTTCTCAGCAAATGCATCAGTGGAGAAATTTAAGCATATTCAGGAAACAGGATGTGATGCACCGTTTTTGGTTTTTCTTCCTTCTTTCCTTCCCCATACTCTTTCTTTATGTGTGTACTCACTGTCACCTGAGTTTACACTTAGTTACAAAAAAACCCTCTGCTCTTAATCTTCAGAAAATTACTGTATTACTGCATGTCAGCATAAATACATACAGTCTTTTACAGATTGCAAACTTCATTATTTTATCAGTTTGGGGAACTTCAGAAGGAATTTGTATTAAGAAAATCTGATTAAAGCAACTTCTCCCCCTGAAAATGGCCTGAACACAAAATTGTCAGTTCTGAGAAAAACAATACCTAGACATGCTCTAATGAACCTATATACTTAGAATGAACTCTGTCTCCCAGATAAGTTTCAAGAATCAAACACTTCCCTTGGGCCTGAAGCACAGAAATGAGCAACAGCCAATGGGCTGCTAATCTCCTCTCACTTTGCTGCCTACTGCTTTTTTATTATTTGGTCTGTGGAGATCCCTTTACTAACTTGACTTGCGTCTTCTGTTTTTGCAGGCTTTGTAGCATTTTCTACTTATCCTGAGTTGGCTCAAAGGGTTAAAGTGTTCTTCGCTTTGGGACCAGTAGTCACAACTACATATGGTACCAGCCCTCTGGTAACACTTACACGTCTCCCCCAGTTACTGATCAGGGTATGTCATTCCTCTTTCTAAAAGACGTGACCGTCTGCTTTGTCTCTACTGAACTCACTCAATCTAAACTGATTTTAAGGGGGTGGTGAGTTAAGAATTAATTCAGTGTATCAGACTGCTGACAGTGCTGGTAGACTTAAGACTTTGTACAGAGCTAAACTGCAAGGCTTGACACAGTATCTCTTTTGCAACTTCTTTAACATAACAGGCACACTTTCTTTCACCTTTAGTTGTTTAAATCAAATGTTTTTGCACTACTAAAAAACAACAAATAAGACATTTCACACCTGAATTTTATTAGACACGCAGTTCATTTATGCTTGTGAAATATTTCCTTAAAGGGAAATACCTATTTCACACCTGAATTTACCAGTTTAATAGAATTTGGTGGGAATGGTGGAAATCCTGCATGCTACACTTTATGTCAAATTGCAGGAGCACTTACTCTTTCTGTCCAAGTTGTACCTATTATGTGGTATAAACCACCCTGCTCTACACCCTTCTCATTTGTCTGCTCCCTCTTTACTTAGCAGCAATACACACAGTACAGTTTGTGCACGTGCCTGGAAGAAATCTTAGGGCTAAAAGGGACTTCCTAGACTTTGCAGTCATGACTGCAGCCAACTGCCCCTTCTCACTGAGGTCAGTGCACTAAAACCAGACAGATAGTGACCTCCAGAACTCACGCCTAATAATAAGCAGCAGAAAGAACCTGTGGTGTGCTCTCAGGAAGAACACACTTAAAGGATTCTGGAATGGCAAGCAGTTTCAGCAATCTTAGTTAAGAGGTAAAGCTGTAGAGAAGAGGGAGTGACTGTTTTCTATATGAAATAATCCTGCAACAAGCAGTAAAAAAAGATTTGCATTTTTGCTCCCCCCAGTTACTGATTGGCTTCAAAGGAATTCTTCACCAGAATGAGCTGCTGAAACGGCCTCTAGTACGGATCTGTGAATCTCTGGGAAAACTTTGTGGCAGTGCCTTAGGCTACATAGCTGGGGACAAGGTACAGAATGTGAACACGGTAAGCACATCCAAGAGCGCCTTAATGCAAGTACTACTAACGTAATTTTGAAGGAAAACAGTTTTCTGCTTTATGTCTACACACAGTTGCAGAGGCATAGGGAAATGTGTTAGGGTTTTCAGGAAATACCAGGTAGGACCTCAGCTGATGACAAGATGTACCACCTGACACATTCAAATCACACAGGGAAGAAAGGCTGAATTGAGAATGGCCCCATCTTGCAATGATGTCCCTCAGTGTCCCCTCTTTTGAGGCTAAGCCAAAATAAAATTGCACAGATACCAAAGCTTTTTAAAATGGACGACTGGATGGAGAAAGATATCTTTTCTTTTGAACAATTCATATTTGCCTTTCTAAACAGGAAGACATCAAGATCATCTGAACCTAAGAGATTGTTTCAGTTGCTACACATCAAAACATTTCCAGCCAAAACTCAAACCTGTTTCTTCAGACTTCTCCCAGTAACAAGATCTCATTCCATTACACTGGCTGACAGCTTTTTTTCTTGCAGACCTTCCACATGCCTGTTCTCCAGTGGCCTTCCATCTCTCATACTAAGACTAGCAAGTGTTCCCATAAAAATCTACACATGTAGCCTCATTATGCTTGAGCAGACGATCTAATAACAATCCTCTACTGATTAAGCACAGCACTAAGCATCATACAAACTGTAGAAACTGGAAAAAACAAAGGCCATACAGACTCCACAAATTATGTTTTCCATATGACTAAGCAGTAATGTGGAAAAGAAGCGCACAAAGGGATAAAATTCTACATACTCATTCCTACTGTAATCTCACGTACGTTTCTCCTCAATATTCTTTTCGATATTTAAAGAATATCCTATTAAAATGGGGTTTAACACAGAAGCAATATGTTGATCAGGTCCCTCGCAGCTTTATTCTGTCACAGCACTGGATCACTGCATTTGTAACACTTCTGCTTTCTCTCCAGAGTCGAGTAGATGTATATGTAGGACATTACCCTGCTGGAACATCAACACAGAACGTTATTCACTGGCATCAGGTATAACCGCATACTGACACACTCTTACTACTTCTTTTTATGCAACCAACAGCCCACAAGGAAGTTCAGAGATGGTGGTTTTGGGAAACTGCCCATCACATCTTCTCACTTGCTGCCATGAGCACCTGCCAGAGGGAGCACCATTTCCCATGGCACACCAGACCATTACCTGAGTTGCCCCTTTGGCATCAGGCCAGGGGGTAAGCCAGACAAAGAAGTGATCCAGGTTAAGCTTTTTTCCCAGAAAGTTAATTGCAGCCTGGCTCACCTCCCAGAACCAGTTAACCACACTAACTCTTCTGCTGGCACAAGCAGCAAGTGGGGAACTACCTCTTCTGCTCATCTTATGCCACTATCAGAGCTAAGTTTTTTCTGCCTAAGCTTCAAATCTGACCAGGGCAAAAGAGCATTGGACCAAAAACACATCACTGTATGTGCACAGAACTGTGCTACTTATGCCAACACTTAAATACATGCATACTCCTGCCCACACCCCTGACTAACATTCCCAGGATCCAGACCACCAGCACCCAGAGCCAGAAAAATAGAGACAAGCTAGCAGATTTCTAGCATATCCTCTGTTACTTAAAGGTTTGGATTAAAAAAATGCACACATTTTCAGTAAAGCAGGTTAATCTTTCGGGTTTTGGTTTGGTTTTTTTTTGTTTTTCCTTTTAGACATAGCACATTCAAGACAACAGTTTAGTGTTAAGACAATCACAACTCTTATAAGTAAGCCAGAGCCTCTGTGTCAAGATATGTGCAGACGTATCATATTTTACCCTAGACTAGCAAGAGCACTGGCACACTTCTGTGCCAAAAACACGGCCACCCACTTTACCAAACTAAGATAGCCAAGCAAAATTTTAATAACAAAACATACCAAGGGTGGTGGCTGAGGATCGGGACAGAAAGTTAGCAAGGGGAAAAGTGATGAAGCCATTCACCCTACGATTCATCCTCAGCACCCCTTGAATACTATTCACTGCCTGAGCCTTAGCATCAATCACAGGAAAATGCACACTGCTCTGTCTCTTAACACTTTCATTTTATCTGTCCTTTTAATGATATTAATAGGTAATACGTGCAGACCAATTGCAAGCTTATGACTATGGCTCTAAGGAAAACATGAAGAGATACAACCAGGTAAAGCAATATAGTTTCCCTGAGAACTATCCTCAGGCCCGGAAAAAACTAAGAACGGAAAAATTCAGATTTCAGCACCTGTTGGTGCTACAGAAAGAGGGAGAGAGTGTCTGAGGTAAAAGCCACAGCCAAGTCCTAGAACCGGGTGATGATGGAGCTCTTCACTGTCCCCAAAATCCTCAAGGTCTGCCTTTCAGTTAAGGGAAGAAATGAATCTCACAACTAAAAGTGGATATGCATACCTTGGTTTTGGGAAGCTACTTACTGCAAAGATAAAGCAGAAGGGATGATTCAGTACAGCACAGCGGAGACGACTGCTGTGGTGAACTAAAACATCCTGTACACAAAAAAAGACAACAGACAAAACTTGGTCACTAGGCATTTTGGTTACTGCCTAGTCAACACTCAGAAATACCTGACTCCTGCAACACTGATAAGTTACGTGACAGTTTTTTGAGATTTGATCTAATCAGTTGACTATGGTGAGCTTTTCTGAGTCAGGACAAGTTATTTTATAGGTGGCACACTATTTTATAGGTGGAGAAAAACTCCAGATTGCTCACACTCCTGGTCTTTAAATACTGAAGTTTAAATTTTCAAATGGCAATATTCTAATCCCAACACTTTGAATGGTTAGGAAACTGCCCCAAAAAAACTGTCAATGAGAAAAATAATAGAACCACCCTTAGATAATAGGGGTCATTTTAAAAGCATCTTGTGCATGGTCCCTTACCACCCTGTAGTCTAATAACCACCCTACATTAAGTCATTTGGTTCATGTCTCAGAAGACCTCCATTCTACTTGCCCATGTTTTTTGATTTCTTCTGTAATGATATTACTCCACCGGTATCAACATTGTGACCTACAGTGTCAAGTGAAGTCTGGACTAATACAACTGGAAGTCTTTCACTCACTGCCCCATAAAAGCATGAAAACGACCCTACATAAGCCAAAAACTTATGGTTCTGGACATAAGGAACACATAAGAAAAGCTACTCTGCAATCCTTTCCTGATAAACATGATTCTCTTTCCATATATCCACCTCTTCAGTGCACAAGTAGGTGTCAATTCATAGCCATACATTAAGGAATGACCCAGGAATAGGATAGATCCTTCCCTTTCGTGGTAGACAGGGAATGATGTTAGAGAAATAGATGCTAAGAAGGTGGGCTTCATCCCTACTGTTTTATTGCAGTGAGTGCAGAAGGGAAAG